CAATGAAGTTATAGTTGACTTAAAAAAAAAAAAAACTCCTAGGATAAATAAAAAAAAAAAACTTAAAATTACACGAAATTTAATAATTAAAAACACGGGTAAGATTGATAAATAGAAGAAGTTAGGGTGTCTATGGAGATTCTAAAGAAATTCAAAATTCACACAACAGAATATGTTCTTCAATTTTACTTTTTCAAATGCTTTATTTTTCGCTTTTGTTTTTTTGTTTGGTATCACAAAAAGGATTGGCAGAGACTATATGAGATTAGGATGGAGTGAATATAAATTAAAAATAATTGATATTTAGGGTGACTTGCAAATATAGCAAAAGATTAATAGTTAATTGTAAATATAACAACTATGTCTTTTATTTGTAAATATAACAAAAAATAAGGCTCAAACCAAATAAAAAGAATGAAAAAATCGATTATATCGTTTGCGTTGATATACCTACAATGAAGTATATCAATAATATATTAAGTGTGGCTAATATACTTCATATCAATTATATCAGTGATATATTTTATACTTGGTATACCAATGATATATAACTTGTACATCTAATATAAAGTATATATTTGATATATATGATGGTTGATATTAGATATCTTAGATATATCAACAATATACTAAAATAAATTATATAATTGATATACTTGATATATCAATAAAAAACATGCAAATGTTACTTAAATAAAAATTTTTGAACTTGAAAAATATTTACCAGTGATATACCTAATATGAAATGTATCATTCATATATTTAGTATGACTAATATACATCATATTAAATATATTAATTATATTAGTTATATTGGTAATATACTTTATATTTAGTTACATCAATGATATACTTTATATTTGGTATATATGTTATAAAACTAATATACTTAATTAATATCAAATATACTAATGATATCAAATAAACAGTTCATATATTTAGTGTGATTAATATACTGGATATCAGTTTTATCAGTAATATAGTTTATATTAATTATACCAGTTATATCAATTATATACAGGATTTGAAGTATATCGATAACAAGAGCAAATTTTGAGTAAAACGAAAAATCTGATTTAAAAATCTATACCATATTTGAAAAATAAAAAAGTTAGTTGCTAATTTTTCAAATATAGCAAATCTTTTTGCTACCTATTAAAAACACCTTAATATTTTAAATAATTTATATCCTTGAATTTTTAAAATTTATTTTATTTTAATTAATAAAAATTTAAAATGACTATTATATACAAGAGACTTCAAATTTTACTTAGATTTCATTAATTTGAATATCATACCACGACTTGTTTAATATAACTTCAAACATGTGTATTAACCGATGATGTGACCACATGTCATACTAGGTGAGTATTAAGTGGGTTGAATTCAAAAAATTTAAGATAAAAATAGTAATTTTAATAGCAAAAAAGAAAAAAGTTTAAGACAAAAATAGATAGTTTATTAGGAATCAAAATGAAATAAAAAATAATAATTAAAAGAAAAAAAAAGGGGAGGGTGAGGGTGAGGGTAAAATGGTCCAAAGGGGCCCACGAAAACTCTAACGCAATGGCTAATAAATGGAGGGGTGGGGCCCATGAAAGGGACAGATTGAACCTCCCCCACTCACCAACAAAACAGAGAGAGAGAGAGAAGCAGATTTTTTCTAAAATCTTTACCCTTCGTTTTGTTTTCACACTCTCCCTCCGTCCACTGTCTGTCCTCCACGCGCTTTCCTTGTTTCGTTCACCCACGCGCCATTCGCCTTCTGCCACGTGTCCCAGATATTGCTTCTCCTTGGCTATAAAAGTGAATCTTGATCCAACGCCACCGTTGATTCTATTTTTCTTTTTCTTTTTCTTTTGTTTATAGGTGAACAAGGATTCTTGAACCAATGTTTTACTTTAAGACACGGATAATCCATTATTCGTAATAATGCATTAAAGAAATCAGGAAGAATTTTTTATTTTATTTTTTCCTTTTTCCGGAGGAGTGAGATGAGAGCTAGTCATTTAAATTAATTTTCACTAAATTTTTGTTTTAAGAAATACAAATTTACCGTGAAATGAGGTAGAAAGTATTTGTAAACGAGAAAAAACTCTTTTATGTTTAATGAACATCAATTTGAAGTTTCAGTCAAGTTAATATATTATGTGGTGGTAAGTCAAAAATGATCTCAACGAGATTTGGATAGGCGACAAGAATACATAAAATCATGATATGAAACGACAAAAGATCTCACCTATTGATCCTATTACGAGGATGTCAAAACATGAACTCGAGATGTTTCGATCGTAAAGTATCATAAATCCTCGTTTTTTTTTCCTAATGATATTCAGAAACATCATAATCCAGTACACCTCATAATTAATGAATTATTTTTAAAATGGTGGCAAATTTATATTTAATTGGATTGTAATGAAGGTTATTTAGGGTTATAGTGGGTAGTGTAGTGGGACAAACAGGTCAAATAATGAAGTGGTACCATTTGAATATTGACCAATTGACTGACTCCAATTTCTATATTTTCTAAGGAATCTTATGTACCAAACTATTTGTGTTTTTAATTGACAATCTTCACACGCAATAAAAACAAAAGCTTCCACACACTTTCTTCTCCTATTCCTTCGTTGCATTACTCATTTAAATAAATCTTTTTTTTTCCGTAAAAAAATTCTCACTTTTTCCACCTTTACGTCAACGATTTTATTTTATGTTTATTTTTTGGCATGGGCTTAGAGGGGAATATGGTTGGGAGAATGGGAAAACCCATCTCTCAAAATGATAATTCAAATTGAAAATAAAACAAAATTAAAAGGAATATTGAGCAATTATGTGGGGTCTTTCTCAAATCCATTAATGGGTAATTGGCTGAAAGAAGGAAAAAGAATGCAACCATGGCAAAGACAAACAGGAAACAATTGATGGAATAAGTCAAACATTTGCAGGCTCTATGGGATGATTTCATTTCTCTTTTTTCTTTTCTTGGAAATCCATGGTATAAGGTCCCACCTCACTCACTACTCTCAACTTCTGAAGAAATTTTACGTGCCTCAAAAAGCTAAGTTCAAGATATAACCATTGGTAATTCACTCCTATGTAGCTGAGTTCGAATTTCTGCATTGGACAATCCATTCACAAATTACACGAAACTTCATAAACCTAATATGATTGGAACTACGAGCCAAGCAATGACTAAAAATGAATGGTAGTCGCATAGAACTATACGATACGACTATAATACTAGAAGTTTTCTCCTTACCACCAAGCGGGTTTTCGGGATGATCGAACTGAAAAAGATTGAGAAATATAGCATAAAATGGCATTAAAGAGGGGGGTGATGATAAAGCATAATTAGCATCGTTATGTTAAAAGGCAAGGCAGTTGGCAGTTGGTCAAGGAAGTTAAAGCAAACATCAATTATTGAAATGAATAGGTCTAGTAAAGCAGCAGAAGTCAGTACTCAATCAAGCAGGAAGGTTAAAAAAAAAAGGAAAGAAAAAAAAGGTCGCCTTCAAACTATAGTTTTTGTTTTGGTACTACATGGATATTCAATATTTATGGTCCTCAACTTTAGACCAAAATAACCAAAAAGATTTAGGGAATGGGTCATCCAACAAGCTTTATTGCACCCCCCAAGCTTCTAGTCAAAAGCAGGGTGTGACATATCTGAGAATCTGAGATGCCGTTCCTGCTGAATCCCAACATTTAATACATAATCTTTTAAAGCCTAAATCTAGGAGGATTTCAAGCGCAAAGGGAGGGCACAGTTGACAATGGGACGATTTTAAAACGAAATCGTAGAAGCCGATTGTGAAAAAGTTTACTGAGTTGTTGACCCTAATAAGAAGAGAGGATAAAAAACGAGGGCAGCCATATGATAGTCTTTGCTTTCAAGATTAATTTGTCGCTTATTTCTGATGAACATTCTGAACAAAAAGATCAAGAATCTCCTACTTTTTAGAGTGAAATATGGTCCAAAGTTTATAAGTCACCGTATAATAAGATTGAAATACTTGAATGATTCTTTAGTCAGTCCTTTCTCCCACTGCAACCCGGCTCACTCTCAAAAAATCACCTTGTGTTCTCCCTTGTCTTTCACTCCGAAGTTAGACTCATATACAAGTGAAGAAGCTATCCAAAAGACTTGTTATGGACAAGGGCATTCTATTCGGTGTAGTTCGTCGTAACCATTTTTAAGAACACAATCCTTGCTTCAAGAGTGATGATTGGTTCGAGGACATATCGACTATCGTGAATAGGGTGTGGATATTGGAATAGATGATCACCACGAGGATCTAGGGATAAATACCCCCCAGCTTCTTGATGGCTACACGTAGTCTTCACCGGAAAATACTTGTTTCTGTTGTATTTCCCTAACACGTGGACTATCATGAGCTAAAGACGCATCCCTATAGAATTTCTATTCCTAAAATGGTCAAAGTAATCTATTAAACTGCAAGAACCAGCACCTTAATTGTTCCCCGACTGTTAGCCGTCAGGATAATAGGACTATCACTCTTCCAGCAAACAGCACTGATGAAATAAGACCCCACATCATCCTCCACATCACCTGCATCTGGTGAACCAAATCCATGCCATGTCAGAGGTCTGGAGATTTCCTGAGACAAAGGAGGCAAACCTTGTGTTAGTTTTTTGAATATAACTAACCTTGTCATAGAAAAAGACTTCGTTTGTTTCGCTGCCACAAGCAATGTATTCGCTATTTACTGTCAGACCAACGGAGTTCTTCTCACTTGTATGCCCTCTAAAGGTACGAACCTACAGAAAACAAAATGGAAGGAATTCAGATAATTCCTTAACAAAAAGTTTGGAAACTGGAATGCATAAATTAAATACTCACTGCAGATTTTCCTTTACATACCATAATCTTAAAGTACTGTCTGTAGATGCAGAGGCAAGCTCACTGTTTGATAAAAATTTTACATAAGACGCAGCTTTCTTGTGACCAGTGAAGACGTGAAGTGGATGGCTAATGTTTCTTAGATCATAATAATGAATATGATGATCTGCTGAACCAACCTGAAGAATAGCCAATGATTTCATGCCTCAAGTTTCTTGTTTTGTTATTAAAAAAGAAAACAAGATATTAATTGCTATAAGATGCGGAGTACCATTGAAAAAGCAAAATCGAATTACACATGTATAGATAAATCAATCCTCGAGAGAATATAATTATAACCATTGAGTGGAGGATCCCCAATTGTTATTCACATGTGTTGAGCAATTCTCATGTTATTTCATCAATTATGGCTTTCACACAAATGCCATCCAAGGAACATCCTAATTTTTTTTTTCCCGAAAGGAAAGGAACCTCCTAAATTACAGAATGATAATAGATAAACAGCAATTTGTATTTGAACTGGTTTCTTAATTTTTTGCAAGATGATAAAAAATAAGAAACTATAAGGAAAACATGATATATGCCGTCACATATTCAAAGGCAGGCCTCCATCAAATAATCCACAACCATGGAATGACTGATCCGATCACATAAGACAACAAGGCGGGACGAAAAGCAGACAAATTTCCAAGCAGAAATGCAGAAATTCAGCGTGTATGCTCCAATTGAAATCTCAACAGACAAGTGAAAGAGACATGAATAAATTCCAGAAAAATAAAGTGAATAAGCATACTGCAACGTGATTGCCAGATCCAGGATTGCATTTGACACAACGTATATTGGTTTTCGATGTTGAGGACACTGGCCTCCTGTTTCATGCACCAAACTTTGACCTGCATGTTAAATTAAAAGCAGATGCAGCAGTCGTTGAAAAGCAACCAACCCATAATCATCATAAGACACCACTAAAGATCAGGCGGCCTTTTTTCTCTCTCCCTTCTTCTTATTGTGAACCAGATAGATTTCAGTAAAGAAGACAAAAAGGAAAATAGGATAGCCGCCCAGATACAGAAAACTAGGACATTGTTACCAAGTTGAGATACTATCCTGTCCAAATCTCACCTTCTATTTAATTCTGATACAGTTACTCTGGAAATTTTTATGGTCGTAAAACTAAATATTGGTCAATTGGGTCAAATAATTCGAGATAAGGCTCGGAACATTAGGTTTGAGAAAGGAAAATTAACTAGACAAGGGAAAGGGCGCAGTGATGTTATAAGAATGATACATTACGTAACACATGCCAAATGTCAGGCACAAGACACCATTATAAGACTAATAAAAGTCATAGAAAATTTGAAAAAATAGAAGACTGACAAAGCCATGCCAGGCACAAGACACCATTTCAAACTAGAAACTTTGTATTATTTATTCACAAAGATGCTCCAAAGATGTTCATTGTTCATGACAATATGCATTAGCAAATGACTAAATGGGTATTATTTTGTAAAGAAGAATTAGTTCATGAATAACTTGTCGATGTTAGATATTAAATAAAGTCTTCTGCCAAGAAACCAACCAAAAAATTAGGGAAAATTTTGATAAGAAACTATTAGGGGAAAAAAAATTACAATCGTGATCTCTACTTTTTCATGTAGTCTTCATTTGGTCCATCTGATCTTAATGCATTTTACACATTACCAACAGACACGGAGAGAATCGAAAAATAAAATCGTCTTAGAATGTAAAAAACTTGCTCATTTAACAGCACTTGCTACTACATGCACCTGCTTCACTAAAGTGACTGCAGTACTGCCACTACAGAAACAGTCCACTTACTATCGTTTTAGAATGTAAAAAACTACCTTAAAAATGTACTAAACCCCCACACTCATAGTCAGAGGAGTGGTTCCCCTTGCAAGGCGAAAAACGTTCCAAATCAAAGGAAAAAAAAGTAAGACTGCAAGAGGGAAAGCTTTTAATATTGATATATCAATTGTGTACGTAAATACACAGTATACATACCTGCTTAATGCGGCTTATGTACAATATACAAGACACTACGAGCAAATGGCTATTGCAAACATTACACTGTTTTGAGATTTCAAAGACCTGAGGAATCTTCATCCGACTGATCATCGAGCTCGGATTCAGAATACACTTCTGAGTCCAAAGCAAATTTCATTTCTTGGGTGACCATTTGGACGAGGTCATATCTATTGGCACTCATAAATGCATTTTTGATCGCATAGAACAATGATTTGTTGGGCTCTATCTCGCCATATTTCAGCTGGCTGTATACTCGCTTCACACCTTCAATTATACCAGCTTTTCCATAACAACCTACTAGATTGATATACGTTACCAGGTCTGGTTTGAGATTCAGATCCTGCATTTTCATGAGTATGTTTAAAGCTTTGTCGATTTCTCCACATGTTCCGTAAGCATTTATGGCGACATTGTATGCAGACGAGTCAAGAAGAACTTCAGCCTTTAAGAAGGTTTCACAAGACTCGAGTGCAGGAGCATGCAAACCAACAACAGAGAATACTGCAGCCATGACAGTTTGTCGTGCATAAGGTTTGCCTTCATGATATGATGATTCTAGCTGTGTTACGGCTTCTATTGGGATGCCTCCTTTCCTCAATATGGTAAATAATACTTTGAAGGTTCCACCATCTGGCAAAAGTTTCCTGGTTACCATCTCATACAGCAATTCACCACATTCTCTTAGTTGTCCATTAATTGCATAGCATTCTATAACCTTGTGAAATGAAGTACAATCCCTCAACAAACCTGATTCTTTCATTTCCTCTGCTACCTCTATGGCTTCATCAAGCATGCCCATGTTCTTATAAAGATATATCATGGTTGCAAAGGAGACTCCATCTGCCAAGCCCCGTTCTCTCAGATCTTCAAAAACTATTTTGGCCTCAGATACCATCCCTAGATCAGCATAGAGATTAATCATACTATTCGATGCAATAATATCTATGCCGTTCTCCATGTTTTTCATCCTGTTGTAAATTCCTTTTGCACCTTCCAAGCTACCCACCTTACTGAACGCCTTTATCAGGGAAGTAAGCACAATCCGGTTTTCAGCAATTCCAGATTTCTCCATTAGGTGGAAGTATTTAAGTGCCTCTTCAGCTCGACCAATTTCAGCAAATCCATTAATCAAGATTCCATATAAGATTTCATTTGGTTCAACTCCTGCATTTACCATGAAATTATATACTTCAACTGCATCAGACATCAGTCCTAGGCGGGCATAGGATGCAATAACAGCAGAGAAGGTCTGACAGTTTGGTTTAAACCCCATTCCCTGCATTTCAATCAAAAGGCGCCTAGCTTCATCAACTAAATTGCCTCCAGAGAACATTTGAATTAGAGAATTGTAAGTGCACTCATCAGGCCAAGTGCCACGGTTTTTCATGCCCTTGAAGAGAAGAAACGCTTTGTCATAGAGTTCTGCCTTGCCATAAGCTTTTATCATGACATTATACTCCATAACATCAATTTTTTGTCCTACCGAATCCCTTCTTGATAAAAAAACAGACTCAGCTTCAGACCACAATCCCTTTTCAGCATAAGCATCTAAAATTGCAGCCGATATCCTAGGCGACAGTCCAGAATTCAATCCATACTTCTCAAGAAATATCTTGGCTCGATCAAGCAGGCCTATGTTAATATACATTTTAAAAACACGAGGAAGTGAATGCTCATCAAGAAGAATATGTGATTTCTCCATTTCTGCTAACACATTCTCCACATATTCAATCATATTCCTCTCAGATAGTATATGCAGAAGAGCTCTATGAGTTACCACATCAGGAAAGAGACCTACCTCTCGGATTCTTCTATAACACTTGAGAACCCCATCAATATTCCCCTCATCAGCATATAGAGAAAGAAAGATATTGTAGGTTTTGGTATCTGGAGACAATCCCCGTTCTTCCATCTTAGCGAGCAAAGTTTCAGCCTCCGTAAGATGCCCATGACTCCCACAGGTAAAGATCATAGTGTTAAAAGTAATGGTATCCATTGGGATACCTGTTGTCAGCATTTCAGCAAACACGTTAGCTGCATCCTTGAGACGCCCAGCCTTCCCATACAAATCGATCAATGTATTGTATGTAGATGTTAGTCTTGGCTTCCGAATGCAATTATGCACCTCCGATGACTCTTTCCGGCTGGGAATCCTCATGCCTGTCCTGAAAAGCTCGGTCAACAGAAAGTGTTTAAGAGTAATTGATTCCGTTGCAGAATTTAAACCAAAATCATCAACCACTGAATTCAAATCAAAATCATTCAGCCCAACGAGTCCCCTGCACCAATCCTTGTAAAATTTATCTGCAGCATCAAATTCTCCAGCATCCTTTAAGACACGAACTACAGTGTTCATAGTTACCTCATCTGGAAAAATGCCTCTCACTCTCATATGTTTAATCCAGAGAAGCGCCTCCTTTACAAGACCCGCCTTGCCATAGACATCAACGAGCATTCCATACGTATTATTAGTTGGGACGACGCCATTTTGTGCCATTTCATTCCAACAAAGCCTTAACTCATCCCATTTTTTAGCTCGCCCTAGAGCTCGAAGCACGATGTTATAGTGAATTACATTGGGAACGTAATCTTTTTGAGACTTGAACCATTTGAACACCTGAACGACTCTTTCCCACTGACCCTGTTCTTTAAGTATCACGGTTTGCTCTTTGGGACTCAGATTTTGACACAAGGAACTTAGGATATTCCCTACATCGCTGGAGGACCGTAAAGACCGTAAGATTGGGGGCAAAATGCCTCCGTAGCTCTTCTTCTTCCCATTAGCCGACAGTCCTTTTGAGGGCGTGGACAACGTTCTTGAACGACACTGAAGCTTAAACCCTGGAGATACCTTTGGGCCTCTATTAATCTGCTTCTGAGAATTAAAATCCGCGAAAGTGAGCTCTCGGCTGGCCAGTGAAGGGTAAAGGAAAAGGCAGTGCTGTCCTTTCGCAGCGCTGCAGTTACGGAGATTGAACTCCATAACTGGAGCAGAAAAGCTACTTTGAATTAAGCTAGCGGTGAAACAATCTTGCCCTAATTCTCTACAGCTGCCAACCTGAAGCATCATTTGAACTTTTCCTCGAAGGAATCGGCAAATGAGTAATCGTTGGCCTTCGAATCAAAAGGGTAAGGGGCTCAGAGTTCTTAAGCTTTGAAGCGTGGAGAGCGTCCAGGGTAGATATAGTGGTGGATTTCGATGCAAATTCTACCATTGCAGGCTTCCAAAATTCAGACTTGATTCAAAGAGAAATGGCGAAAACATTATAGCATTTTAAGGAAAATGACAGAGACTATGGTTGCTTTCTTAAACCCTAGTGAGTTGTGGGGAAGCCGAAAGAGGGGTTTGCAAGGCTTTCCATCCGCGCGCGGCGAGTTCCAACTTACAACTAAATTGAGAAACTGACGTGGTTTCAACTCATACCATTACCTCATATTATATTACGTTAAATAACTTTTTTTTTTTACAGAGAAATAACATTTTTTTTAATTGTTAGTTCACATCAATTAGTTGGAATCTATGCCGTTAAAGCATGCTCGATTGGTAGATTAAGTAACCATACTTAATCCTTGAGGAATCGATATCGTTTCAACTAATACCATTAGGTCCATTACCTCGGGAAGTTAATCTTATAGTTCATATTATATTAGGTAAAATAACATTTTTCTTACAGAGAAATTACATTTTTTTAATTGTTAGTTCAAATCAATTAGCTGGAATCTATGTTGTTAAGCCATGCTCGATTGGTAGGTTAAGTAACCATTTTATACCATCTTTATTATTTTGTAATTACAATTTTGTTCAAAATATGTATGTATATATGTATGTATATATGTATGTATATACATGTCAAATTCAGTAATTAGCATATATCTCGTGAGTTTGATTCCTCATCTCTACATGTTGTACTAATATATATATATATATATATATTTCAATTTCGTATATTTGTCTTGATTCAATTATTATTCCAAAACGAACATAATTCAATAGTAATTGATATATATTTTCAATTAAGAGGTTGTGAGTTCGATTCTCCACTTCTACATGTTGTACTAAAAAAAATTAGAACAAAACCTTCAATTTTAAATAAGATAATTGCTGTCTTATCCAAGCAATTTGACATGCCTAGATAAATTTTGACCATGTACGTAGCTTTTTCATTTATGCAAGTATCGTGCTAGTTAGTAGGTTTTTTCTTTTCTTTTGATTACTAGCTTGTAGGTTCATAGATTCAGAGTCTATTGTATATTACTATATAATTTATAAATGTTATATAAATTATTAAAAAGTAATTTATTTATTTTTTTAAAAGAAAAAAAAGCAATTTAATTACACTAGTAGATACCTGTCAATAAAAAGGATAAACTTATCAAAAGCGTGGTGTGACAATTTTTTTCATGTTGGTAATTATCAAGAACTTTATAAACAAAAAGATCAAGAGTCTCCTACAGTTTAGAGTGAAATATGGTCAACAAAACTTTGTAGCTCTCCGTATAATAAGATTGAAATACTTGAATGATGCACATTAGTCGGTCCTTTCTCTTCACAGACTCACGGCTCACTCACTCTCCAAAAACCACCCCATGCTCTCCCTTGCCTTCCAAAGTTACGACTCGTATACAAGTGAAGAAGCTATCCAAAAGACTTGTTATGGACAATGGCATTCTATGCAGTAGTTCATCGTAACCATTTTTAAGGACACGATTCTCGCTTCCAGAGCGATGATTGGTTCGAGGACACAGTGACTATTGTGAATAGGGTATGGATAGTGGAATAGATGGTCACTGGGATTGTGGAATAGCGCCCCTAGCTTCTCGATGGTACACGTAACCTTGACTGAAAAAGACTCATTTGTGTTTATTTCCCTAACACATGGACTACCGTGAACATTACATACAGTTGAGCTAAAGACGCATCCCTATAGAATTTCTATTCCTAAAATGGTCAAATTAGTTTATTAAACTGCAAGAACCAGCACCTTAATTGTTCCCTGACTGTTAGCCGTAAGGATAGTAGGACTATCACTCTTCCAGCAAACAGCACTGATGAAATAAGACCCCGTTTCATCCTCCACATCACCTGCATCTGGTGAACCAAATCTATGCCATGTCAGAGGTCTGGATATTTCCTGAGACAAAGGAGGCAAACCTTGTGTTAGTTCCTGAGAACTAGGAGTTCGACCTTTGCTCTCCTATACCGTGCCTGCCCCAAGACCTAAATCCGGTTGGCAACAAGGGTTTTTGGTATTAAGCTCACCATAAACTTTGAACAAGACCTCTAAGCCAATATGACTAAGAGACTCCAAGTTCTTTCCCAACTGGGCTGCTCCTTCGGAGCGGCAAACCTTGTGTTAGTTTAAAGACGAAGAATGAAGGACCACGGTTTTGAATATAACTAACCTTGTGGTAGACAAAGACTTCATTTGTTTCACTGCCACAAGAAATGTATTCGCTATTAACTGTCAGACCAACGAAGTTTTTCTCATTTGTATGCCCTCTAAAGGTGCGAACCTACAGAGAACAAAATGGAAGGAATTCAGATAAGTCCTTAACAAAAAGTTTGTAAGCTGGAATGCATAAATTAGATACTCACTGGCAGATTTTCCTTAACATCCCATAATCGTAAAGTGCTGTCTGTAGATGCAGAGGCAAGCTCACTGTTTGATAAAAATTTTACATAAGAGACAGCTTTCTTGTGACCCGTGAAGACGTGAAGTGGATGGCTGATGTTTCTTAGATCATAATAATGAATATGATGATCTGCTGAACCAACCTGAGAATAGCCAATGATTTTCTGCCTCAAGTCTCTTGTTTATTATTTAAAAAGAAAACAAGATGGTAATTACTATAAGATGGGAAGTACCATTGAAAAAGCAAAATCAAATTACACATGAATAGTTTAATCAATTCTCGAGAGAATATAATGAATTTAATACCATTGAGTCGAGGATCCCCAATTGTTATTCACTGTTGAGCAATTCTCACGTTATTTCATCCATTATGGCTTTCACACAATTGCCACCCAAGGAACATCCTAATTTATTTATTTATTTTTTTTTATTTTTTTGAAAGGAAAGAAACCTCCTAATTTATGATAATAGATTAACAGCAAATTGTATTTGAAATGGTTTCTTAATTTTTGCAAGATGATAAAAATTAGGAAACTATAAGGAAAAACATGATATATGCATCAGATATTCAAAGGCAGGTCTCCATCAGCTAATCCACAACCATGGAATGATTGATCCAATTACAGAAGACAACAATGCACAATATGCAAGGACGGACAAAAACAGACAAATTCCGAAGCAGAAACTAAACAGCGTATGCACCAATAGGAAACTCAACAGACAAGGTGAAAAAGACGCGAATAAATTCCAGAAAAATTAAGTGAAGGAGCATACTGCAATGTGATTGCCAGATCCAGGATTGAATTTGACACAACATATATTGGCTTTCATGTCGATGTTGAGGACACTGGCCTCCTGTTTCATGCACCAAACTTTGACCTGCATGTTAAATTGAAAGCAGATGCAGAAAGTCGTTGAGAAACAACCAACCCATAACCATCATAAGATTCCACTAAAGATCAAGAGTTCTTTTTCTTTTTCATTCTCTCTCTCCCTCTCTCTCCCTTCTTCTTCTAGTGAACGAGATAGAATTCAGTAAAGAAGACAAAAAGGAAAATAGGATAGCCACCCAGATACAAAAAACTACGATATTGTTACCAAGTTGAGACACTATCCTGCCCAAATCTCACCATCTATTTCATTCTGAAACAGTTACTCCGGAAATCTTTCTGATCCTAAAACTAAATATTGGCCAATTGGGTAAAATAATTCTGGATAAGGCTCAGTAATTTTAGGTTTCAGAAAGGTTGGTTAACTGAACAAGGGAAAGGGCGCAGTGATGTCATAAGAATGATACATTATGTAACACATGCCAAATTCTAGGTATCGGTTGAAAATATCCTTCATTTGCTACCTACAAAATCTGCCTTCACATTTGACCACCTTGGAGGGCCAAAAGCCACACCCTCTATACAAAAGCATATGGAAAGAAATGTACCAGGAAAAATAAAATTTTTCTGCTGGGAGATTAGCCACGAAGCCATTAACACCTATGATAGGATACAAAGGCAGTTGCCCCATGTTGCTCTCAACCCTAGTTGCTGCTATCTATGCTATAAAGAAGCTGAAATACAAGGTCATCTCTTTATATCATGTGATATTTCCTCAATTTTCTGGCATAGAATGCTCGAAGATCGGTTGGCAAACCGTGCTGCACCAAAGCCCCTCCATCTTCCTTAGCACTTTGCTGGTTGGTCATCCATTTAAGAAAGAGGGAGGAATCCTTTGGGTTCAACTTGTTCAGGCCTTTCTATGGAGTGTATGGTTGGAGAGGAACACACAATTTTCAATGCTACATCTCTCCCATTTGAAGTTTTTTTTTTTTTTAGATTTATTGTATCTACTCCTCAATAGCTACTCTCTAGATGCTCTCATCTCTAATTGGAAGGTGATTTTGTAATTAGCCTCCATGGCTTTTTGTTTATTTCATATCATCAATGAAATACAAGTTTCTTTAATATATATATATCCTTCATTTGCTACAAAGGTTGTAGAAAAATTAAACAAATAGAAGACTAATAAAGCCACGCCAGGCACAAGACACCATTTAAAACTAGAAACTTTATATTATTTATTCACAAAGATGCTCCAAAGATGTTCATTGTGCATGACAATATGTATTAGCAAATGACTAAATGGGTATTCTTCTGTAAGGCAGATTAGTTCACGCATCACTTGTCCATAGTTGATATTAAATAAAGTCTTCTGCTACCAACCAAAAAATGAGAGAAAAAGAAAACAATCCTGATCTCTAATATGTCATGTAGTCCCCATTTGATCCATCTTATTTGCATGCATTTTATACATACATATTCTTGGTTTTTGTTTTTCTAAAAAATAATAATAATATTAATAATAATATAAGGGTTCATGTTCAGACATTTGTATAATGTTGAGATACTCATAAATGAATGTGTTAGAATCCATATAAATGAATTAAATTTACCCAACCCATCAGCTTAAGCTTTTGGGTTGATTGGTGGTTTTTTCATCTTTAACATATAAAAAGAGCAAATGTCTAAAAAAATACAGATAAATGAGGAATACAAAAACTTCTCAGCAGCCTTTAACCTCAATGTTCTTGCAATAAAATAAAAGCAGCAAATTACCATATAATGATGCTATACTAAGAGTACATCCAGAAGAATCACATAATCCACAACCCACATCTATCTTGAAGCATAAAGTTATTTTCCATCCTTTAAAATACGAAGTGACCACCCTCGGCCTGTTTACATACAGATATGCATGTGTAGTTTTCTTAAATTAATAAACTAATTAATTACCTTGCAATCATCGCTACCAGACACCAGCCTTGATGGTTCTGTACGAGAAAAATCAACACTCCACGCACGTTTTTCATGCTCTTCACATTCCATCACACTCTGAGACACAATGTTTGACAAGTTAGCTATTCTATCTAAAATTCCAGATTGGATATGAGGAAAATAGTTTTTACGAAATTTAAGAAACCATGTGGCCAAGACTTACCTGCCCTTTATTTACATCCCAAATTGTTACTATACCCTCATAGTCACTGCTAGCGATAATGTGTTTTGATACCTTGTCCCAACTCAAGCAACTTAGTTTTGCTCGTGTTGACATTTCCACTATAGGAGAGTGGACATCAGTAGGTTCATTTACAACCTATAAAACAACAACAAGAAGGTCATAGAGCAGTTGCATAGCTTCATAAATAGACCTTCTCAGCATCATCATTATTCATTATCATAAAATGACCAAAGTATGCATAATCCACCGACAAACTCTCCAGCAAACAAGGGTTACACCAAAAGCCCTGTTGATCAAATCATTATCAATACAAAACCCCTAAAAGTTTAACAGTGATCATTACGTGGAAATGAAGATCATATCATTGCAATTGCAATCTTTTACCAAATCAACCATAGTGTGCATGCTAATGACAAGAAAAACAATTAATGGCTAAGGATTCAACATGTTCACTCAATCAAGGAATGAGTAGGAGAAACACCATAGTTGGACCAAAAATCAATGGGTATAGGCATCTAAATGTAGACATTACCGAAGAGAAGTCAAAGACTTTTATGCATCGAGAAACTCCAGCAGTAGCAAATAATTCATCATCTCGGTCAAATTCAATGCTGAAATACAATAAGACCAATAAAAAACTTTGAGAAACATGATATTGTAACAGCAACACTCATGGTGAAAATTTTCACAGATTCTGGTATTAGGATCATCAGTCATCACATTGATCCCAGAAAATTGTTGTCTTTGTTCACATTTCAATTCAACCCCATTTTAGTTATAAGAAATTTTCCAGTTTCAATTTGCATTGTCCCCAATCAAATTAAATCTCTGCCATTCTTGACAACAGACTGCCTTACCTTGATACTATGTTGGTGGAGTGAAATAGATCCCCATGTCTAAGCTCGGCAATGACTCTCAAGCGACTATTTATTCAATAGAAAGAAGTCCCATAATATTAGTCACATTTGAAATTTGTACTGTAGTAATTTCAACATTTGAAAAATATACACAATTCTTTAAAGGGAAAATAGCCTACATCAGCCTTCCTACCTGTATCGTGTGAAGGTAGTCAACACTGATTGAAAATCTGAAAGGCCTGCACTGTATCCTTCTCTGCGTATAACATTTTTATCCTTTTCTTCCTGGTCAGGCAGTTGATTTGGCAATTGACGTCGCTTTTGCAGATAACATTCTTGGAGGTCATTGAACTGAAGCCACAGAGGGAACTAGAATCAGGAAAGTCAAAAGGAAAGGATGAAAGAAAATGGAGAGGCAGAGACAAAAG